GGGTTGGGGCGGGGGCCAAGCGAGAGGGCGACGGGGTCGGAGGAGAGCGGCGACTCGGAGGAAAGATGAGGCGGTGAGTGGACATCGGGAACGCAGAGTTTCCTTGCTTCTCTTCCAGGCTGTAGGGACAAAAGCCCGGGCTGCGCAGCTATGGGGGGCCCCAAACCCTCGAAGACAGATGGACCTCGAGTTGCGAGGACCCTGGGTAGGGAGTGTCGGGTAGAGACGCTCACAAAGCGATTGTAGGTAACAGGAGTGATTTGGGGGGACCCGAGGCAACTTTTGCCAAGGACTCGGGAATACCCAGGGCAAGAGGGATCGGGATCTTTGAGCTGCTTTGTCGCTGTGCGCGGAGGAAGGAGAAAGTCCGCTGCTGGATGGTGCGGGACGCGAGATTAGGAGAATACCGCCCCCCAACATCTGGCTAGCTGCGCTTCTGGTTCCACTTTGTTTCAAAAGTGGGGCTCGCGAGTTTGAACCGCCCACAGCCTCGAATTCCGATTTGGCTCTTGGATTCCCCAAAAGTTTTATGGTATGGCAGTCTCCGCACCCCTAAAGATAGCGGCTGGATGCGATAAGAAATGTTTTGAACCCCGGTTTCACTCGCGCGCAGCACAGCAGAGGTGCTGCTGCAAGGTTTGCTGGTTTATTTAATAACTTAGCTCTAGCAGTTATCACTCATTAAAGCGCCGAGGCGGCTAACTCCCGCCACCGCCAGGAAATTAAAAGGCTGACAGGCTGTCCCTAGCAAAGTTGGGGTTTCCTGTTTGAAAGAGTTTCGGAAGTCGAACTTGCTTCCAGCGCCTACCCATCTACCTTTCGTCTATAAAGAGAGAACTGCGCCCTGCTCCCGCCTCCTTTTATGTTGGTAGACTTGCCCGGGGCTGGAAATCCTTTAGGCTGGCCCTGCGCTCATCCCTAAAAGTCTTTCCTCTGGAGTTCAAAAGTAGCTCTCAAGAGTTACAGAATGCATAGCTAGGCAGAGCCAGACGCAGCTGGGAATGGAACTAGGAGAGGAGGCAGAAAAATGTGGAGTCTTTTTGCTATAAATATCTGCCAGCCACATTTCCCTTCGTTATATGAATATGTAAGTTACAGATATTTATTTTCAATTATCAGACTTGTAACTTTAAGCATCCTACTTTGGCTTAATTTAAGCATTTGAGATATGTCTCCGAGATTCTAACATCTGAATTCAGCTCGGAGCTCTAAATGAAGTTCACTGTTTCAGAGAGTTAAACTTTTGCCCTGAGAGTACTCGAATTCTTGGTTCTTGGTAGGATAGCAACAGAATAGTTGGATTTAGGATAAATAAACCTTTAGAGCTGCCCACTGTTTTAACAGAATGCCTACATCCCTGGTACCATTACCCTCAATTGTGTAAATATTTATTTGAATGAAGAGCTAAGGTTCTTTGAAAAGTAACTATTGTGTCTATTCATGATTCCCTTTTAATATCCTGGACTTAGTTATTTAAAATGATTTTTTTTTTTTTTACCTTACATATCTAATGTGGAAATTTAAACATATAGACCTAAGAGACTGTAAAGTCCTGTGGTGACATTTCCTTTAAAAGCAAGGGGGAGTTGAGTTTTTGCTCTTAGTTGACTAGTGTAGCCTTCGCCTCCTGAGACCCAGAGGTTTGCAAATCCCAGCCTTTTTCACAAATGGAAAAATGAGATGTTTGGTTAAGAGTAGTCGTCATTTCAGTCAATTTGCAGGCTTCAGTCTCTTTCATGCAGCTGGCAGCTGCTGCTCTTTTGGGCTGTGGTGGACTATTGGGGGTGTCTTTTGGATCCCCATTAGAAGTGGGGGAGGAAAAGATACTTGGGGAAAGTGAGCTAAGAGTTTGCTAACTCCTATCTTAAAGAACCCGGACCTAAGCTGGAACTTTTTAGCAACCTTTTCAGAAACGTTTTATTTACTGGCTTTTGTACAAGAGAGAGAAGAAAAAAGCCAAGTGACTAAACCAACTACTGGTTCTCAAAACCCTGTGTTTGAGGTTTGTAAGCAAGGATTGATTCTGAAGTACATTAGAGAAGTTACTGTGGAAATTGTGATTCCTTTTAAATACTTTTAAGAGCAGTTGAGAGTATGACTTTGTATGCTAATTCTCAATCCTTCCCTGGTAAGGAGTGCTCTGCATGATTTGGGAAGACAATGGTTTTGTATGTCTTCCAAGTGGAATACGCATGCTTTATAAATCTGATGACTTTATTAGATCTCAGTGTACTTAGTAATTGTGTAAATGTCACCCTTTTGAAACAGAAACGACTATTAAGTGATGTCCTTTATTTTAAAATATATGTATACCAGCAGTGGTTCTCAATGGGGAGAGGAAAGATTTTGTCCTCTGGGGGATATTGGCCAGTGTCTGGAGACATTTTTGGTTGTCTCCACTACGGGTATGGAACAACCCTAGCTGCCAACTTGGGCTAGCATCTTGTGGGACGAGACCTCAGATGCTGTGTAATATCCTACAATGCATAGGACAAACAAAGCATTATCTAGCCCCAAACTCTTCACTAGAGTATTATTACTTTGTGAGCATTTGTTAACAAGATTAGGGATCTTAATCTAATTTGGATCCTCAAGAAATCAATTGTGTTCTTGCTCAACCCAGAGATCATGTCATAGAAGCCTTTTTGTCTGCAGCAGATTCATTTGCCCTTAAGAGTCTTAATGTACCATAGATTTTAAGGAACTTATGTTCACTGGGGACTTTGAGTTGGCTCAAAATCACAGAATTTTGGAGTGCTAGAATGCAAGGAAGCATCAGAGATCACTGAGTTCCACCTTTTCATTTTACAGTTGTTGTAACAGCTGCTTAAGTTAGCGGCAGACATAGTTTTAGGTATAGCCCAGGATTAGAGAATTTAGAGACTGATATTCAGGCAAATGTAATTTTTTTTTTTAACTGGACCTGCCCCTTTGTGAGAATTTAGAGGTACCATTCTCCATTTTGAAATAAATAAACTCTTTGATAGGGAAATAATGGCATTAGCCATAGTGACTGGAGCATATGCCTGCATGTGTGTTAGCCCCAAGAAGGAGGTAATTCCATTGTGTGACCTATGACACTTCAGTTTTGATGCTTGCACCATCCTTCCCATGGCAAAGTGGGCAACAGATGGTTCCACAGAAATAGCAGATGTTGCTTTTGAATCCAGGTACAAAACAGAACATTCAAGGTTTTCTGTCCCTCCCTGCCGTATGGGTTAAGAGAAGAGTGCATGAATGGATAGGGTTGTCTTAGACAAAAGGGAGAATGAGAGAGGCCTCTTGAGTGCAGAGTTTAAAAAGACACCTGGCATATAAGAAAATGAGTGTGCAATGGGGCAGTTGTAAGAGAAATTCATAAGCTGATGAGTTGATATCTAAGATAAATGTGATTGCATAAAGCTTGGGTTAGGAATTTGAAGACAATTCAAGCTTGGCTATTCTTTGGTGAGTAGAACAAAATAATTGAGAGTAAAAGGAACCTCAGAAATCCTTTTATCTGAATCCTTTGCCCACAACCCACTCACTTGGCTGGATAGTAAAGAACCTTCAAACCTGTTCTCCTAACTCCTGTTCCTTTGCACTATCTCTTACACCCTATGGTCTCTACCATTCCATCTGGTTGCCTCATGGGGAAGAAAATGATAGTAATATAAAGTTTTTGTTAATTTCCTAGGGGAGTTTAAAAAGCATGGTATCGATGCATGGCCTTGTTTGTAGAAAGAAGTTATCTCAATGAGTTTTTGATTATCAGAGAAGTTGTGCACATGTGGCCTGATCACTTACGAACATATGTCCTCTCACATTTACATTATTCCGATTAGACACTAGGCCTGTGATTATGGATTCTAGTTTTGTGTGCTAAGTGATCCTGCAAAGGTAGTTATAATCCTCAAACATGGGAGGTTCTGACAATATAGGAGAAGTTTTTAATATGCCTTTCTTTCAAGAGGTCAGAGCTCTGAACTGTGCCAAGGTAAGTTCTTATCATTTTGACAGCTAACCAGTGAGTGCACCTCAAAGCCAAGTACACAGTATATTTAGAAATGATTTGAAAGTGGTGACTCTTTAAAGGGATTTGGTCCCTGCAGGTGCTGCAATAAAGAGGTGTAGCAGCCTTTTTATGATCACCTAGTTATTCTTGTTACTTTCTTTGCAAGTGATAAGTAGAGAAGATATGAGCTGAGTTTTTAAAAATAATTGTTGGCTGAAAATATTTATTGGCATTTGAATAAGATGACTCTTGTCTTTCAAAAGTGAATAAAACCAAATATTTGACCACTTTTACTCTTATCTACCTCCCCCTCCCCTATCCCTCTAGTAGCCACTAATCCACTGTTTGTGTCCATGAGTCTTTGTTTATCAGGTTTGTTTCTTGATTTCATTTTTATATCCCACATGTGAGTGATGATGCAAGGAAATCTAACTCTGGGTGCCGAACACACAATGCAGTATATATATAACTTTCTGTTGAATGGTACACTTGAAGCTTATTTGATTTTGTTAATGTCACCCCAATAATTTTTAATAAAAAAAAAATCAGAAAGTTATTAACCTTTACTTGGCTAATTGATACACACTGTTAATATCTCCCTAACCACCATTCACATATACTTCATTTGTGTAATACATAACTTTTATAAAGAAATTAAAATTAGCATAAGAAAAAAAAAGTAAATAAAACCAAAAGGGATAGCTCAGGTTTTCAGATCCCTTCGAAATAAATATTTAGTAGGCAGAACTTGTCTCTATCACCTAGAAATTAAATCTTCTAGGGGTTAATTTGCACACAGTTGTTTTCATGATATTTAGAGATGTTTCTTAGATATTGTAAAGCAGTTTGGTGCTGTATCTGCTTTAAAGTCAAGATTGTTGTCTGCAACAGCTAGTGCTCAATAAAAGAAACACAAATATAAAATTCATTTTATTGAGGTACATTGGAAAAGCTAGGGACTGGAGAAGTTTGCTATACAAAGAAACATAAATAAGCTAGAAAGTAGCAGGCTAAGTTATATGGAGAAGTTTTTGAGATGTTTTTACAAGAGATATTTGTTTTGCTTAGTGTGGTAGGTT